GGGCCGGCGCTCCGCCCCCCATCCACCTACTAAGGGAGCGCGCTCTGGCCGGCCTCGTCTATTGGCTGCCGCCTGCTCTGAGCCATCCCCGGCCTCCTCTGATTGGCAACCGGATGCCACCTCCCCACTCCCCGTGCGAACGCCCCGCAAGTAGAGAAAAAGAGGAGCTATTGGCCAGTCCAGCAAGGCCCGCTTTTTAGACGCTGGGCTTCCTTTGAAGATGAAAGACAAGCGGAAACTCCACCTCTTTCCCCAAAAGGCAAGAGAAAGCTCTAGACGGATTGGCTGAGAACCGTGTCCTCCCAAATGTCACCGCTTTCTTCCCATCGAGGAAATGGACACATCTATCAGTAAGACATTTCTCAGTCTGATCGAGAGGATAAGGAGATGATTGGTCCCTTTGGGCCATGACAGCTGGAAGACCCGAAGGTTCCTCTACGTCCCGCCTTATTTGAAAACAAAACCGGACCCGGGACCTATTTAGTGTGGTGGGGGTGGAGCGATAATTATCGCGCTAAAGCTAACTGCAGCTGCGCAGAGTCGCGTTTCCGCCCCCGCCCCTGAGAGCCTGCCGCACAATCTGTCATGGCGGCTGGGCTGGCCGGTTTGTGCGCTCGCCGCCTTCTGGCGGCAGTTGCGACATGAGGGCTCCCGGCTGCCCGCGTTAGCTGGGAATCCAGTGTTTCCAGGGCTGTGGTCGCCCCGTCCGCTGTGGCAGGAAAGCGGCCCTGGGAACCGACCGTAGGCTGGCAGGAGGACCCAGATCCCGAGGACGAAAACCTCTATGAGAAGAACCCAGACTCCCATGGTTACGACCAGGACCCTGTTTTGGACCTCTGGAACATGCGGACTGTCTTCTTCTTTGGCTTTTCCATTGTCGCCGCAGAGGACGTTATTGGGCGGCTGAGGATTGCACAGCTGGCGAAATCTTTAAAGACTTAGGAATTTTCCTCCTTTTTGCCCTGAAGTCTTCAGTCTAGGGCCAGAGGCGGGATTGATCTTATCTTGCAAACACATATCAAGCTCAGGACAGGTTAGAGGCAACATAGTATAACAACGGTAATACTGTATACTGACATGGCACTCCCTCGTGGCCAGCCCGTGCTCTAAACGCTTTGCGTACGTTAACCCCTCACCCCCTTAGAAGAACAACCCAGTTTTTCGATAGGCACTTTTATCATGTCCATTCCACACATGAGGAATTGGAAGCACCGTGATGAAAAGTAGCAGACCGGAGTTCACCTAACTGAATAAGTGGTGGAACCAGTATTTGAACTTAGAGTTACCAGGTCTGCAGTGCCATAGTAGCAGACTCTGAAGTCGGATGGCCTGGTCGACAGTTATCCATCTGTGTGACCTTGGGCAAGTAGCTTAGCCTCTTGGTGCCTCAGTGTCTTTGTAAAATGGGAAAAATAAGAGGACATCTAAAAATTAAAATACTAACTTCATGTAATTAAATGAATCAAACTGGTCAGACAGCAACTGGCACTTTATAAGTACTTAGCATTAGAAAGTGTTGATTATTGCCACATTCCTCACTGAGATACTGTGAGGTTTGTGTATGTGAAAAGACCTGGCACATCATAATTTTCACACCAATGTAAACCTCATGTTAAGAGATTGGATACATAGGATGCTTATTAATTTACTCATTCATTCATTCCGTAAATATGTATTGAGTGCCTGCTGCATGCCAGGCACAGTTCAGGACCACACAGAAGGGTGAAAATTAAACAAAGCTCATGCTTTCGTAGCGCTCATATGATAGAGGGGAAGACAGAAAATAAACATGTGAACTATTAGAAAGACAGTAATACAGTCTGGGCATCCCTAATCTGAAATCTGAAATGCTCCAAATATGAAATTTTTGAGCACCAATAGGACACCACAATTGGAAAATGCCACAGCTGACCTCAGGTGATGGGTTGCAGTCAAAATGTTGCAATATAAAATATATGTATGCCATGTGTGGTGGTATCTGCAACTTGGGGAGGCAGTGGCAGAAGGATTGTAAGTTTTAAGGCTGGCTGGGGCAACCTAGCAGGATCCTGTCGAAAGATTTTGAGTGGGGGGAGGGCAGCAGGTGGTATGGTGGTTGAGGCACTGGACACTCCCACATGGCCGACCACAGTTCAAATCCCGGACCTGGTGACTTGCTTTCTCACTTTCTCTCTCTCTCTCTGTCTCTGTGTCTCTCTGTCTCTCTTTGGTCAAATTAAAATAAATGAAAATTAAATAAAATTAAATAAATCTTAAAAATAATAGATTTTGGGTGTGGTAGTATGTGACTTTGTCCCAGCTACTTGGGAGGCTGAGGCAGGAGGATCGCAACATCTTTAAAAAGTTATATAAAATTGGGACCAGCAGATGACGTAATGGTTATGTCGCTGGACTTCCATGTAGTTGACTGCACTTCGAGTTCTGGACCCGGTGGCTTAAAACTCATGCTGAGCACCTGTGCGTGTGTGCCCAAAATTCTAGGAGGAAAATGGAAGCGAAGGGATTGTGGCATGGCCACCCCTCCCCCGGAGGTGATTTCTCATTTTCTGTCTCTCTGTTTCTGTCTCTCCGGTGAGTAGACGCAACCTATAACAAAAATCTCTCTTAAAAAAGCTATGTAAAATTACCTTCAGGTTATATGTATAAAGGTGTATATGAAACATAAATAAATTTTGTATTTGGACTTGGGTCCCACCCTCAATATTCCAAAATTCCCAAATATTCCAAGATATGAAAAAAATCTGCAATCTGAAGCATTTCTGGTCCTAAGCATTTCAGATAGTGGATATTCTTTTTTTAAAAATTATTATTTTTTTAATTTATTCATTCATTGATTTTTTAATTTGACCAGAGAGAAACAGAGGGTAAGAGTGAGAGAGAGAGGAAGTGAGAAAGCAAGCCACCAGGTCCAGGACTCAAACCCCGGTCGGCCATGTGGGAGTTTTCCAGCACCTTAACCACCACGCCACCTGCTGGTCCCACAGATAGTGGATACTCAACCTGTATAGGAATATGTACTACGTAATATTATAAGATAATGTGATGCAGAGTGTCTGGGGGGAGTGCTACTTTGGTGCTAAAAGGAAAGTAAACAGGATAAGTGGATGGAGAGTGACTTGGGTGTAGGGAGCTGTTTTATTAGGTTAAACCCTAAGACAATACCAATATGTAGCCATTATTGACTTATTTAAAAACAGTTTCCTATGGTTCAAATTAATAGACAAAGAAACTGGGGAATACCTCCTAAAGAAACTGGTGATAAAGCTAAAATCTTGAATGAGGAGGTGGATCCAGCCATGACTAGATCTGTGAGAAATGTCTTACAGGTTGTGGGAACGGCAAGTGCAAAAGCCCCGTGGTAGGAAGGAGCTTGGCATGTTTTAAGAATAGAAAGAGAGGCCCAGCCCTGTAGCCTAGTAGTTTAGGGAGCCAGATCCCACATGACTTACCACAATTCAAATACCAGCCCCAGTGGCTTGAAAAACATGGGTGAATGCATCCATTCCCCGAACCCCAAGAGGATGGAGACATGGAAGAGAAGGGATTGTGGCATGACCACACCCCATTGGGGAGTGCTTTCTTTCTCTCTCTCTCTGGTGAGCATACCTACTCTGATAATTAAAAAAGAAGAAAAGTAGAGAGGAATTTCATGGGGGAGGGAGATTGGTCCCAGGTGAGATTGGAGACCAGGTTGTGCAGGGCCAGCATAATACTTTGTAGGACCACAGGAAGCCCTTGTTGATGTGTCTTTCTCTACAGAACCCAGACTCCCATGGTTACGACCAGGACCCTGTTGTGGACCTCTGGAACATGCGGACTGTCTTCTTCTTTGGCTTCTCCATCGTCCTGGTCCTTGGCAGCACCTTCGTGGCATATCTACCTGACTACAGGTGCATGGGGTATTCAGAGAGTGGGGTGGGCAGTGGGTAGAGCCAGAGGGTAGGGATTGAAGGGGACTCTGCCTGGTGTGCTGTCCCTGTACTGCAGGGGAATGGAGCCGAGTTGGGGAATTACTGTCCATTGAGACTCCTACACATCTACCCTACACTTCTGTCTCTAGGATGCAAGAGTGGGCCCGCCGCGAAGCTGAGAGCTTGTGAAATATCGGGAGGCCAATGGTCTCCCCATTATGGATTCCTACTGCTTTGATCCCAGCAAGATCCAGCTGTCAGAGGATGAGGACTGACCTGTTGCTACGTGGGGCTCAAGTAGTACCACCTTCCCCACCCCCAGCCTGCCAGTGTTTCTTCTTTTCAGACCACCTAATTAAAGGGACTGAAAGTCTGACTGGCTAGTATTGATTTTGTTGTGAAGGGAACATGGGGGTGAGGGTAGTTCTTGGCCTTCTACTCAAGTGGTTGTAGAGGTGGTGGCTGAGGCTCACCTGGGCTGCATATCCAAGTGACTGTGTGTGCAGTTGCTATAGAGACAGAGACAGAAAGTGAGAAATCACTCTCTGGGATAGTGGGGGTGGGGAGGACGGCCACACCACAATCACTTCTCCATTTTTTTTTTAGGATTTTAGGGACACACATGGACCTGGCATGATTTTCAACCTCTGGGTCTTGGACTCAAACCGCAGTGTTGGCCATGGGGGATCCAGCTGCCTCCTCCATGCTACCTGCTAGCCCCTAGCCTCAGCTTATGTGGTGGTTCAGGGTTTTGTTTTGTTTTTTTAATGGAAATGTGGCACATAGGAAGAAATTGATGTCGGCCATCTTCAGAGAAAAACTACTTCACTGGGACCTCCTATGTTTGAAGATGGGCTGGGGCAACTGAAGTTGAGGGTGATGCGAAAGAGCAGGGCTTTCCTGCCACTGAGGATGAGTGTTTGTCTCCCTTCCTGCCTTCTCTGCTTCTCTCTGGGCTTTGGAGTTTCTGTCTCTGTCAGAAGATGCATGCTCTTGACAGAGGGAGAAAGCATCCCTCAATGGGCTGTGTTCACTGCTGCAATCCCTTCTCCATTTCTCCATCCTGTTGGGATTTGGGGCACACGCGTACACACCCAGTGTGTTTTGCAAGCCACCAGGGCCAGGACTTGAACTACAGTCCACCATGTAGGATCCAGCTCCCTTAAACACTTGGCCACAGGGCTGGCCCTGTCTGTGTCTTGGTAAGTCTGGATGCCTCTTTAGTCCCTTCTACCACAAATCTGAGTAGTCTCAGCCAACAGCCACATTTTTCTATGTGAGCATGTGTGTCTGCTTCTCTGCCCTGCCCTCTTCTTTGTCTTTCTGTGTGTCTTTCTCACTGAGAAGATAACCCCCACTTCCTGAGAGTAGGCTGCCTCTTTACATCAGGGTCTCTCTTTCTCTCTGTCTCTCTCTCACCCACACACACACACATTTGGTCTAGTAGGGGACCTGCTCTGACTCAGGCTGTCTCTGTCTCTTTCCAGGGAGTCTCTGTTAAGCCTGAGCTTCCCTTGCAGCTCTCAGTGTCTCTCCGGTGACCCTCCTTTCACGGCTCTCAGGAACACTCATACCATTGCTGTGCTTGTCCCTACTTTGGGCTTCAGAGGGTGTAGGAGCCCCCAGTCACTGGCTACTGGAAGAAAATCTGACCTGCTGGAGCCACCACCTGTACAATTCCCTGCCCCTAGCCACTGAGTTTCAGAAGGAGCCTTAGTCCAAAGGATGTGGCTGCAATGGGAACCATGACCCCATGAGCCTTCCTGGAGTAAGGAGTGTCACCCCCTGACTGCTTCCTTATGGGACCCCAAAGCAGAATGTTCCTGTGTAAAGAGGGCACACTGCAACCCTCAACCTGCAGATACTGGTACTGAGGCAGTGAAAGGGGCATGCTATTGGGGCCAGCAGGTGGTGTGGTGGTTAAGGTGCCGGACTTCCACATGGCCAACTGTGGTTTCAGTCCTGGATGTGTTGGCTTGAAAATCATGCCAGACTTGTGTGCGTGCATGCATGCGCAAAGTCCCGAGAGGAGAATGGAGGAGAAGGGATTGTGACATGGCCATCCCCACCGTCCCCGGGGGGGGGGTAATTTCTCACTTTCCCTCTCAATGTCTCTCTCTCTGGTGAGCACATGTGCCCTATGGCAAAAAACAAAAAGAGCATGCTATTCCAGTCACTAAGCACCTGTCTGTATGGGAGTAACACCTCCTATGATAAACTTGGCCTGCAGCTCAGAGCACACCGTTCCCCCAGATGCCCTCCTCCCTCCCTCAGGATATATGCTTCAGAAAGGCAGGCATTCAGGTGTGTGCTGTTCACTCAGGGCAGTGATTGGTACAGTACGTGCTTAATGAGTCTTTGGGGTCATTAAGCATGTACCCCTGATGCCCTTGAAGCTTACAGCCCCAGAGGATGATCACTTCCCGTTCCCTCTTGCTCTGCCTCATTAAGCTCTCAGGTTCTCAGGAAATCTCCATTTTCTTTTTGGAGAGGTTTTTATTTATTTATTTATTTTTTGCTATAGGGCACATGCACTCGTCAGAAAGACAGAGAGACCGCAAGAAATCACCCCCCAGCGGAATGGCCACATCTCAATCCCTTCTCCATTCTCCTCTCGAGATCTTGGGCATGCATGCACATGCGCCCGGCATGAGTTTAATCCGCCGAGTCCGGGACGTGAACCGTGGTCAGCTACATGGGAGTCCAGCGATATAACCATTATGCCAACTGCTGGTCCCTCCCATTTTCTTAAATGAGAGGTTGCGCTTAGACTAAATCCTAAAATCCATGGCCTGGCTGCAAAGATACCACCTCCTCCTCCTTCACTGAAGGGAAAGGAAACACAACACACTGGCTGCCCTTTTTTAAATCATTGAATTAAAAGATAGGAGCCAGCACCAGCCCTGTAGCCTAATGGTTAAATGGTTAAGGAAGCCATATCCCACGTGGCTGACCCTAATTCAAATCCTGACCCTGGCAGCTTGAAAAACATGATGGGGCATGTGTGCTTGTGCTCCCCAAATCCTGACAGGATGGAGAAATGGAGAAGGGATTACAGAGTGACTATGCCCTATTGGTAGTGGGAGTGCTTTCTCCCTCTTCTTCTCTGTCTCTCTGGTGAGTGCATGTACCCTCCAGTAATGAATACAAAAAAATACAGGGGCAGGACAATGACACAACAGTGAAATGCAATGCTGCAAAGCAATCTCACATGGGAAGGCTCCTGGTTCAAGTCTGGAAACCTCCCTGAGTATATCAGGCACAAGTGTGCTCACAGTCCAGGGCTGGCTGAGGCTGGGCATGGATTGAGGAGTCAAGACCCTATTGGAGTTTCTCTCTCTCTCTCTTTCTGTGTGTGTGTGTGTCTCATTCATGGAAGAAATAAATGAATACTTTTTAAAATTACATACAGGAGACCAGCAGTTGGTGTAATGGCTATGTCGCTGGACTCCCATGTAGTCAACTGCAGTTCGAATCCCAGACCCGGTGGCTTAAACTCATGCCGGGCGCATGGGCGTGCGTGCCCAAGATCCCAAGAGGGGAATGGAGGAGAAGGGATTGTGGTGTGGCCATCCCCCCTGGGGGGGTGATTTCTCGCTTTCTATCTCTCTGTCTCTCTGTGTCTTTCTGGTGAGCGCACATGCCCTACAGCAAAAACCTCTCCAAAAAATGTACATACAGAAAAGTATACATATAGAAAAGGGCACAAAGCTCATTTACTTTAAAAAAATGTTATTTAATTTTATTTATCATTTTTTTAAAAAAAATTGCTACAGGGCACATGTGCTCACTAGAGAAAGAGAAAAAAAAAATGTGAGAAGGCAAGCCGCCAGGTCTGGGACTTGAACCATGGTCAGCCGTGTGGAAATCTAGCACCTTAACCACCATGCCACCTGCTGGTCCCATCGTTTACTTTTTACAGATTAGACACATCCATGAAGCCAGCACTTGAGCCAAGAAATAGAACACAGGGATAGCAGGTGGCATGGAGGTTTAGGTGCTGGATCCCTCATGGCTGACGATGCAGTTCAAGTCCCAGACCTGGTAACTTGGAAATACTGTGTGAATTTATGTGCAAGCCCAAAATCCAAAGAGGAGACTGGAGAAGGGACTGTGGTGTGGCTATCCCCCCACGGGTGGGGTGGGGTGGTGGTGATTTCTCATTTTCTCTCTCTGTCTCTGGTGAGTGCAAGTGACCTATAGTAACAAAACAAAACAAAAGACTGCAAATCCTAGAAGCTCTCTTCGAGTCCTCCCCCTTCTCCAATCCCCTGAAACCCCAAAGGTAACTACTCTCCTGACTTTAAAATTTATTTCTTTTATGAGTGAAAGAGAGAGGTGTTCTTGACAGGGTCTCATGCTACAATTCTCCCTCCAGCCTCCGTTCCAGCCAAGATCACAGGCACGCCTGGTTTGTTGACGTTGACTCTGGATCCAAAGCAGGGCCTCCCATATGGCTTCCAGTATCACACAACAGTGCCCTACCACCTGTGCCACCATGGCTGGGCTACTTTGCTGACTTCTATCTGGTTTTGAACTTCTTGTAAGTGCAATCACATATTTTTGGGTCCAGCTTCCCTCACTCTGCACAATGTTCTTTAAAAAAAAAATAATAATAATTTTAGCCATCCCGGATCATAGCATGCTCACACTCTGTGTGCACAGAGACTTTGGAACATAAACCTGGGACCTTGCCACATGGCCTCAGCATCACGAAGTGTGGCATTACTACTGCATCACCACAGCTGGCCCCCAGCACAAATGAAACCTGTCTGCATTGTTATGTACATTTGTAGTTTGTTTATTCTCACTGCAGTCCATTTCATTGTATGAGTAGATCACATTTTATCTGCTCTAATGTTACTTGGCATCTGGGTAGTTTTCTTTTTGGGTCCATTAAGACTAATTCTTCTATAAACATTCTTGTACATTTCTTTTGATGAATGTAAGCACTTATTTCTCTTGGGCACATACCTAGGAACAGGATTACTAAGTCATGGGGTACATGTGATGAGCTTCAATAAATCATGCCATTTTTTTTTTCTTTTTAAGTTTTGCTCTAGGGAGCGTGTGCTCACTCGAAAGAGTAAGAGAAAAAGAGAAAAAGTGGGAAATCACCCTCAGGGGAATGGCCTCAGGAATTTCTCAGGGTGGGGTAGGAATGTGTGAGTGGTCAGAGAACTTAAACACACTGTGTTCACCCTACTGTTCGCCCTCGAGGACATTGAGGACGTTTGAACCTTGATATTTTGGACCCAACTTTGTTCCATCAACATAACAGATACTATCTCTGATCTAATAGAGCATTTCTGATGTGCAGGGCCCAGGAACAAGAAGACATAGTCCTTGTGGCAGGCACTGTCAGTTCCCTGCCCA